TATATATATAGAATAAAATAGAGAAAAAAAAAAAAGAACAAACCAAGACCATTATTCCTCTTTTTTTTCCCTCCCCCCCCTCCAGTTATATATATATTATATATATAAATATAATATATAAATAGATAAATAAATAGATAAATAAATAAATAAATAAGTAATTGAAGATGCAGTACGTAAATATACCTAGAGATAAGGAGGATCCAAATTATCGTTATAAGATGCCAAAATTATTATCTAAAATAGAAGGAAGAGGTAATGGTATAAGAACAAATGTATATAATATGGGGGAGATAGCAAGAGCATTAAAAAGACCACCTATGTATCCAACTAAATTCTTTGGATGTGAATTAGGTGCTATGGTTAAATTCGAAGAAAATGAAGAAAAAGCTCTTATTAATGGTGCACATAGTGAACAAGATCTTGTTGCTATATTAGATAAGTATGTCTATATTTTATTTATTTATTCTTCTTCTTTTCTTCTTTTTTTTTTATCTATTTATTCATCTATTTATATCTATCTATATATCTATATATCTATATATCTATATCTATCTATCTATATTATATATATCTATATATATATTATGTATATATATATATATATTCATGAATATGTATCTGTTTCTATTCATTTCTTTGCTGCTGTTGCTGCTGCTGCTGTTGCTGCTGCTGCTGCTGTTGCTGTTGCTGCTGCAGGTTTATACAAATGTATGTACTATGTGGTGGTTGTGAATTACCCGAGATAGATATAACAGTAAAAAAAGGAATATTATTATGTAAATGTAATGCATGCGGATACTCGGGTACATTAGATAATACACATAAGGCAGCAACTTATATGGCAAAGAATCCCCCTAATGCAACAGATACAACATTAGGTAAGAAAAAAAAAACAAAAGAAGAAAGAAGACAAGAAAAAATACAACAACATAATAATAATAATAATAATATTAATAATAATAATATTAATAATAATAATAATAATTATAATAATAAAGATGATAAAAAAAAAGAAAAAAAAAAAAAAAAAAAT